GTGAAACACAGTTGCGAATCTCTTAGCCTGGTGCCTGGCACACGGGAAATTCTCAGTAAATGTTCGCAAGTATTATTGCCCCAGTGTCAACTCTTTGAGAACTTTCTTTCAGGGAGGATATTAATGATCCATTATTTCTTGCTTGTGAGATGTGAAGTTATTGACTTAATCGCTGCTGGGCTTGGCATGTTGAGCCCTATTTCTGTTTATTAATGTGATGAGGTTACTCGTGGTGAGAGAGGGACCCTGCTGTGTGTGGCAGTAATTATCAGAATTGTTGTGTGGCTGCAGGAACCAATTGCTAGCAAATGCTGATTTCTTTCTTTCTTTTCTTATTTTAAAAAAATCCCATTACATAATTTAACAATCATTTTGTTCCATAGTGAGATGAAAGAATTTAGCAGCCTTCAGCTGGTGCTGAATGGAGAAACAAATTATAGAAATCACTGACATTAGTGCCTGGCTAGGGCAGGATTGTTTCCTACTGAATGTTTGAAAGTATTTTGTCCATCTAATTTTGAAAGACTGGAGTCACTGGGCTTCCACTGCTCTCCTTGGGAACTATAATTACGTGGCCTAATAGAGCTCAGTGGTGGGACATTTTCTCTAGCTGATCCAGCAGGAGTGGATGCACCTAGAGGAGGTCTGGTCACTGTGCTTTTCAAAATGGGATTTGGAGAAGGGGCACAAGCATGTTTTACTTGCTTGAGAAAATATTCTTTTCTTCCTACCCAAGGATGTTTCTTTGGTCCATCCTGCTGCTGTTGAAACATGATTTGCTATATAATGAGATTTTCTTTAACTTTGTATTATGAAGAATGACAAAAATACGCAAAAGTAGACAGAACAGTGTAATGGACACCCCTGTGCCCAAAACTAGACCCAACAACCATCAACCAGTAGCCAATCCTGCCCCATCTACATGCCCATTTACTTCCTCTTTTCTACTCTTATTTTGAAACAAATCTTATCCTATCTTTTTAAAAAAAATTCTGGTAAAATATACATAGCGTAAAATTTACCATTTTAGCCATTTTAGAATGAATGATTTAATGGCATTAAGTACTGACTGTTGTGCAACCATCACCTTTATCTAGTTCCAGAACTTTTTCATCACCCCAAAAGGAGACTCTGTACCCATTAAGTGTTCACAGCAATTCTTCGCTCCGCCTAATGCCTGGCAACCACTAATCTCCTTTCTGTCTGTATGGATTTGCCTATTCTGGAAATTTCTTATAAATGGGTTTATACAGTATATAGCCTTTTTGTGTGGCTTCTTTCAGTTAGCATAATGTTTTCAAGATTCATCCATAATGTGTTATGCATCAGTACTTCCTTCATTTTCACAGCTGAATAGTATTCTGTTGTATGCATATACCACATTTTGCTTATTTATCTGATGATGGACATTTTGATTATTTCCACATTTTGTCTATTGTGAATAGTGCTGCTTTGAACATTCAGATGCAAGTTTTTGTTTGAACACCTGTTTTCAATTCTTTTGGGTATATACCTAGAAGTGGAGTCTCCAGGTCATATGATAATTCTGTGTTTAGCTTATTGAAGAACCGTCAAACTGTTTGCCACGATGACTGCACCATTTTACATTCCCTCTACCAATGTATGAGGGTTCCAGGTTCTCCACATTCTTGCCAACATGTTATTTTCTGGATTTTTAAAAAAATTATAGCCATCCTAGTGGGTGTGAAGTAGTATCTCATTGTGGTTTGACTTGCATTTTCCTAATGACTATTGATGTTGAGCATCTTTTCATGAGATTGTTAATCATTTGTATGTTTTCTTTGGAGAATTGTCTATTTAAGCCTTTTGCTCATTTTTAAATTATATTATGTTTTTATGGTTGAGTTGAAAGAGTTCATTGTATATTCTGGATACTAGACCCTTATAAGATAGATGATTTGCAAATTTTTTTCCATTCTGTGAGTTGTCTTCGCTCTCTTGATAGTGTCCTTTGATGCAGAAAAGTTTGTAATTGTGGCAAAATCCAATTTATCCGTATTTTCTTTTGTTGCATCTGTTTTTATTGTCATAGCTGAGAAACCATTGCCAAGTCCAAAGTCATGGAAATTTACATGTTCTCTCCTAAAAGTTTTATGGTTTTAGCTCTTAGATTTAGGTCTTTGAGCCATTTTTGAGATAATTTTTTGTATATGGTGTGAGATAAGGGTTCAACATCATTCTTTTACATGTGGATATTCAGTTGTCCCAGCACCATTTGTAGAAAGGATTATCATCACATCCTTTTATCCACAGTATTTCAGTATGTTTCTCTAAAAGACAAGAATTTTTTTTACATAACCACAGTACCATTATCACACTTAAAAAATATTAACCATATTTTCTTAGTATCATCAAATATCTAGTCTATAGATTGTCTCAAAATTGTTAACATCTTTTCAAAGAAGTCAGTATCCAGATAAGTTTCATCCATTGCAGTTTTTTGGTATATATTTTTAAATGTTTTTAAATCTATAGATTTCTCCTCCATCTCTTTTTTTCCTTCTCACAATTTATTTGTTAAAGCAAATGAGTCATTTGCCCTGTGGAGTTTTCTTTTCTAGGTTTTGTTGATTGTATCCCCATGATGTGACATGTTTCTCAGTCCTCTGAATTTTCTGAGTTGGTAGTTGGAACTAGAAGCTTGATCAGATTCATGTTTTGGGGCTTATTTTTTTGCTTTTTGTTTTAGCAAGACTACTCCTTAGGTGATGCTGTCTTATTCTAATCAAGAGGCGTGGCCAAAATGTGATTACGTGCCTAAACCTGTTAGTTTATTGGGGGTTGTGAAATAGTGATAGTCTAATTCCATTATGTCTCTTCATCTAATAGATGGAATGCTTGCTTTTAATGAAGAGAAGCTTTACCTGTTTTATTATTTAATTACCCAGTGGTAAAATTTGCATAAGAAAGGCAGTGTAAATTTTTTTTTTTTTTTTTTTTTGAGGAAGATTAGCCCTGAGCTAACTACTGCCAGTCCTCCTCTTTTTTGCTGGGGAAGCCTGGCCCTGAGCTAACGTCGTGCCCATCTTCCTCTACTTTATACGTGGGATGCCTACCACAGCATGGCATGCCAAGCAGTGCCATGTCTACACCCGGGATCTGAACCAGCAAACCCTGGGCCGCCGAGAAGTGGAACGTGCAAACTTAACCGCTGCGCCACTGGGCCGGCCCCGGCAGTGTAAATTCTTGATTCTTTCCCTTTATTTGCCAGTTCTCAAAATAAGAAGTTAGTTCTTCATTTTCTTCAAACAGTGCCAGTTATATTCTTTTTGAGGAGAGTCTTTGTTAATGTGTTTAGTTAAGCATATCTAATATGTTTCAAGACATTGAAGTTATTGTTCTTGTTGATGTTCAAATTATTTCGTCTTTGGCCAGTGAGAACCTCTTCAAGTTGACTCCTGAGTCCTTTCTAATGTGATCTCTTGGTCTTTGATAGCTTCCTGGTTATCATATATGGTAATTTTATAACTTTTATTGGGTTGGAATGTGATCCATTGTGGCACGCCTCGAATTTCCTTGCAAAAACTCCTGCTAGGTCTCTATACTTCCACTGACACTCTGGAGAGGATGGGAGAGTGTCCCTCCCCTTTGTGGAATCATAAGAAGACAAATCAGAACAAGCATTGGAAACTCATTCATGAAAGTCTTTTCATGAGTTTGTATTGAGTTTCAACTAGGCATACAGACAAAAAGAAACAATTTCTTTTTTTTGTTTTTTGAGTGTCACCTGAGCTAACATCTGTTGCCAATCTTCTTTTGTTTTCTTCTTCTTCTTCTCCCCAAAGGCCCCCAGTACATAGTTGTATATTCTAGTTGTAGGTCCTTCCAGTTGTGGCATGTGGGACATCACCTCAGGGTGGCCTGATGAGCAGAGCCAGGTCTGCGCCCAGGATCCGAACCCGCGAAACCCTGGGCCACCGAAGCGGAGCATATGAACTTAACCACTCGGCCACGGGGCCGGCCCAAAAAGGAAACAATTTCTGCCCAAAGCTTTTGCAGCCTGGTAGGGTATGCTTTAGGCCCTCGTGAGGTGGTGCTGATGTTAGGAATGTGCATTTGGACAAAGCCAAAACCATCAATGTGGTTTCATGCTGGCTCCATTTTAGTTCTGTTTCTAGTGTCAAGTCAGAGATTGATTGCTCGTTATTCTGAATTCTTTTCATATCATTACAAAAAAAATAAGTACCCAATAAAGTGACTTTTTTGAAGACTTTCTGAAGAAGAAGGAGAAAGTATGGAAATGGATGTGTTTTTCTAAACCTAGAAAATGAATGTCAAGCAGATCGATTGCTTTGCCCCTTCTAGTCTCTACTTCTCCATTGAGGAAGGGAGATGTTTATTTTCTGCCTCTTTTATAAAGTTGCTGAGTACTGTAATGAGTTTATATTTATAGGGAACTTGGAGCTTTTTGGATGAAAGGTGCTAAATTAGGGCTTATTGCTTATTGAATTTATTTGATGTGTCCAACCTCCTGGGAACATTTGCTGAAGTTAATTAAAAACAGATAGTCCTCACTCTGACAGCTTATAGTGCCACTTACAAACCAATAACATAAACTGTGTGCACTTCTGTCCTAACGTGGGGCTGCCTAGACAACCATAGCTCTTTCAGACAGGGACCAATCTTACTTTTGTAGGAAAAATGAGTTCGACTGCTGGGTAAAAACACAGAGAAATTCTCAACCACATCTGAATCACTTATCTGCCCTCATTTTTAAAAGTACTTAAAATATGGAGATTTTTCTCAATTTCCCACTATAATTTTCAGGTTGAAAAATTAAAAATAATCTTTCCTTTCTGTCATTTTGGGAAGAAATTAAGATAAAAGTTTTTGTTTTGTATATTGTGGTGTGATCACCTTTTCTTTGCAGAAATGGCATTCCAAAGCAGCCAACTGGAATAACTTATGCTTTCTTAACTCAACCCAGTGGAAGCTGTGAGGTGTAATTATAACAATGGCATGTTTGCTTCCTTTGCCAGTTGGTCATGGAGTTTTGTGGCGCTGGCTCTGTCACTGACCTCATCAAGAACACGAAAGGTAATACGTTGAAGGAGGAGTGGATCGCATACATCTGCAGGGAGATCTTGCGAGTAAGTGACAAGATGGGAATCTTGGGAGGTGTTGACCTTTGTACTAACCTTCCGCTGAAATTCATCAACTTACTGGAAACCTCGTTAAAGCTTTATTCTAACAGTGCTGGTGGTAGTTTGTTGTGGTCTGCTCTAACGGAAGTGAGAGCCATTCCGAATAGGCCGTGTGCACTCTCACTGGGAAGGTTAACACTGGATGATTTCCCTCAACAAGGGATTCATTTCCAATGGTGCTTCCAATTAGAAATCAGATTTTAGATCCTAGAGATAGTGTTCCATTTAGGAAATGGATTTTTTAGAGATATTTTGATCACTCATTTGAATTTTTCATTTATGAAAATTTACAATTAATTTAAAGATTGTGTGACTTTAGCCATGTCAGCATATATAATCTAATTTAACTGATTTTACATTAAAAAAATATTTTTTTTTATAAAATCACTGAAATCAATCAAAATAGCTGGATAAGACTGTGCCTTTTCCCCTGGTTTTGCCCACAAATCCCATAATTGGCAATCTGGACAATAGTGTCATGTTTGCTGAGGTCAGTTCAGGGGGGAGAATGTAACTGGTCATATTTTGGTTCATTCAGAATAGTTTATCTCTTGCTACTATATTGAGGCTACTGTATGTTCGCTGAGCGTTCTTACTAGATCTGCTTGTCAATCGTTACTTATTTGTAAGCTCTGCTTTCTTAATATAAAGGAACAAAAATTAAAACTGTTTTCACGATGTGTCCAAGATATGCTTTTGAGAGAGGGATTACGTGCTATGGATGGGTGGATAGATGGATGGGAGGAAGGCATTAAAAAAATGATGTTTATTCATTTAATTCAAACCACGTTAGGCAAAAAAACAAATAGAAAATGAAATTTTAGAATGATAACACCTATGATAGCATAAAAAGTCAAATACGTAGAAATAAATTTACATAAACGTAAAAAACTTTTACACTAAAAACTACAAACCATTACTGACACTAGAGGAGACCTTAATAAATGGAGGTATATGCCATTTCACAAATTAGAATACACAAAACTGTAAAAATGTTAGTTGTCCCAAATTTGATCCATGGTTTCATTGTACTCCCTATCAAAATCCCTCTAGGTATATCTGGATATTGACAAATTGATTTTTAAAACATTAATTTGGAAATGCGCAAGGGGCCAGGAATAACCAAGTCAATCTCGAAGAACAAAGTTGAAGTGTTTATGCTGCAAGTTATCTGCACTTACTATAAAGCTGCTAAGTCATTAAGACAGAGTAGTATTGTCACAAGAATAGACAAATGGGCAAGGAAACAGAATTGAGAGTCCAGCACAGACCCACTTCCTGTGGACACCTGATTTATGACAGAGGAGGTGCTGCAGCACAAGGGGAAAGGGAGCTCTTCTCAATAATTAGTGCTTGGCCAGTTGAGTAGTCATGAAAACCTGAAGCTGGACATCTGTTTTGTACCACATTCAAAAACTAATTCCAGCTGGATTATAGATATAAATGTGAAAGATATAAAAAATAAAGCTCTTTAGAGAAAACGCAAGATAATACCTGCATGGCTTGGAGTGGGCAAAAAGATTTCTCAAACAGAACGCAAAACAAAATTGGAGGGGGTATCACGGACCTATGGCTGCTGATCTCTGTCAAATCTGACATTTATCTCCAAATATTGAGGTGCCATTGTGTAAAACTTAATTTGAATTTCTGACTTAGAATTTTACTCCTTCACAGAAAGCATGATGGATTATTTAGTCATCCAGACTACTAAGTGGGTGCCAAGAATCCGTTGGGTCTGCAGGGCTGGCTCTGCCAACACCCTTTCTGCACTGCTGGGTGACCCTGAGGGGATTGGTCGTGGGATCTCCAGGGCTCTAGAAGCAGCAGACTGGTTCACTTCATGAGTGTCTTTCAATTCCTGGTTTTAAAATGTGGGAAAACAGTGATTTCTTCCTTCTTCCAATACATTTTCCCAAATGATACTGGCATTTGAGATAAGATGACTCATTGGAAGGGACATTTAATCACAAGTAGTTTCAGAGATGACACCCTCCATGTATCATATGATCTCATTAAATACAACTTGTGGCTCACTTGTGCCCTGGTATCTGCCTCCAACCATTTTGGTGGTGAAGGAGGGAAAGAGATCTTCAGTCCCTTTTTTAAGGATTCATGGGGTGTTAATATGCTTGGAAAACCATACGTTTTAATCTGCTTGATGCCTGCCTTGAGCCAAACTGACTAGATAAGAAAGGTAATTTTTTAAGACCCAAACCAGTGCTTCAAACTGTCACACAGTTTATGTTTACCGATATTCCTAAACATATGCATGGATCTTTTTGGGCATCCAGATTCTCATGCTGAATTTTTCAACAAGGGAATTTAGATAGTTTTATTTCTTTTTGGGTCAATCACATCTTTCATACCATGGTTTTGCTGTTGTAGAGAAAAATTAAAAGTACAGAGAATCATAAATAATAGAATAACAACACTCGAGTATCCAATATCTTTAATGAACAAGTGTAAGCATAACATAATTTCCTTTAAGCCTCCAATTTTAGATTATTTTCGGTTCGATTATCTGAGAAATATGTGACTACCTCAGAGCAAGTCTGTAGGTTTTAGAACTCATATCATAAAGCAGCCAAAATTAGAGTAATTCATGGAGAAATGGAACAAATCAGATTTGGATGTCACTGAATAATTATTTCATATGATGAACACAAAGTCACAAATACCATAAAGCACTAAAAATGATAGCTATGAATGCCAACAAATGAAATAGAAATTGTTTTCTTTACTGTGAGCCCCAGTGCCTATAGCCAATGGGAAGTCTCTTGGCTGGTCTGAGAATACTTTATTGTGCTTAATTAAAATTGTATAACATAAGGTAACTTTTAACTTTAAAATTTAACTTTTGAATTTACATATTGCTCCCAAGAAAGTGGAGGATTCAGTTGAATCACGTTAGTTTTCTGTAGAGAGACTCTGTAGATGGTCCTCTTACAACCTAGTGAGTATAGGCAATCCTCGCATTCCACAGCACTGTGAACTGAAACTCGTACATGCCAGGATCCTATCATCGTTTGTGTGGGTCCAAGGTACCTGAGATCAGAGCTGATATGCAAGCAGTTCATTTAACACAGCCCCGTGCATTGCAAGGACTGCCTCTGCATTTCAGTTTATATTGATCAATTACCTGCAGTTTAGAGCAGCATGCTGAGCACGTGAAAGATGTGAATGTAATAATGAAAGTGTCTCTGGGTGACTTCACATCTTTTTTGGATCATTAACATCCCAAAGAGTTTATCTGCATCTTGGCTTATGTTCCTAATAACCCTTCTCAACCCTCCATCGCTCCAGGGGCTGAGTCACCTGCACCAGCATAAAGTGATTCATCGAGATATTAAAGGGCAGAATGTCTTGCTGACTGAGAACGCAGAAGTTAAACTAGGTAAGAACAGAATCCAGTGAGCCTGGGAAACCAGGAATTGATAGAATTATTTCAGCAGCTGGTTGGTTTTTTTTTTTTAATGAATGTAAATTTATCACTGTGGATTTGAAGGTTGTACTAAAAATGAAGAGGAAAATGTTTCTTTGTCTATTTCAAAAACATTTTTTAAAAGTATTTTGAGGAGTGAATTGGTATACAGTATAGTAAACAGAACCACGTGCTTAATCAGCATATAGAAATAATTGAGATTTTTTTTTTAGTAAAGACCCTTTACATTAGAAGTGACTGGCCTTGATGGTTTCCTCTATCTTAGTATTTGTTTACATTGTTGCTGCTTTGACAGAACAATGCTGACCCACTTTTTTTAATTGAAAATATCCACAGTTAGACGTTCTTAGGATAATGAATTCCTGCTATATTCCCATATATTTTAAGTTATATTTACATTGATTTCATTATCACGTAGGGCACCTGTACAAAATGGATGCTCAGTATTCTACTGTATATGCCTACCAATTGTCCCACTTCCATTTACCCAGTTATCAGTGAGGGAATCCTTTTCTCTGGTGCCCTCCCACAGTAAGTCTGGGATTGTCCAGATGAAGAAGAGAATCTCCACATGCATTTGCCTGCTTGGTGTATATGAGTAAGAGTATGAATTGACAAATATCCCATAGGATATGCAATTTGTCATCTAGAATAGAATTACTGGCCATATGATTGTTTATTTTCAAAGAGATTTAGGTATCTCCTATGTATATATCCCAAACATTTGCTCTGGCCTTTCTGTTAAAATATATAATTTCCATTTTTCCTTAGTTAGCATTTGGGGTGAGACTTACCTCTCATGAATACCCCCTTTTAAAACAAAAGCATTCATTATGTAGGGAAAGCACTTATGTATGTACTGACTAGATAAGCTGTCCTCAGAATATTCACTCATCTCTAATTAACAGTTACTTGTTGAGAGAATAGTATATGCCAGGCGTTGTACAAGACACTTACGAAGATTATCTCATTTCATCATCATAGCAACTCTATGTCGACCATGCTCATCATGCTCATTTTCTAGATGAGGAAACCAAAGCTCAAAGAGGTTGATCTACCAGCCCTAGGTCTCATCACTAGTAAGTGGCAGAAATGGGATACAAACTTAAGCAGTCTGACTCCAGAAACTTAGCTCTTAACTGCTTCCTTTGTATCCCCTAAATACTACCCTTTATGGCAAGCAAGCTTGCCTTTTATTTAACACCTAGTTTTAGTCCCCGTGAAGCCTTGGTGTAACCAAATATAACACTTTGTGCTGTCCTCATTGGGACACTTGATACACTTGATCCATTTATATATGCAGTTTAGAAATACGCATTCACAATAGCAAAAAGGAAGATGCAACCCAAGTGCCCATTGACAGATGAACGGGTAAAGAAAATGTGGCACCTACATATGATGGAATATTATGCAGCCTTAAAAAGGAAAGAAATTTTGACACATGCTGTAACATGGATTAACCTTGAGGACATTATGCTAAGTGAACTAAGCTAGTCACAAAAAGACAAATGCTATATGATTCACTTATATGAGGTACCTATAGTGGTCAGACTCATAGAAACAGGAAATAGAGCAGTGCTTGCCAGGGGCTGGGGGGATGGGAGAATGGGGAGTTATTGTTTACTGGATACGGAGTTTCAGTTGAGGAAGATGAAAAAGTTCTAGAGGTGGATGGTGGTGATGGTTGCACAATGATGTGAATGTACTTAATGCCACAGAACTGTACGCTTAAAAATGATTAAAATGGTAAATTTTATGTGATGTGCGTTTTACCATAATACAAAATATACATTCATTTTATCGCCATATAAAATTGTAGACTTTATTCATTTGTCTTCTCTTAAATAGTGGACTTTGGGGTCAGTGCCCAGCTTGATCGAACAGTGGGCAGGAGGAATACCTTCATTGGGACTCCCTACTGGATGGCACCAGAAGTTATCGCCTGTGACGAAAACCCGGATGCCACATATGATTTCAAGGTATGACTTCTTCCTTCCTTATTATGTTTCAAAACCATTTCTAACATCTCACCCTGCATCTTGTGGTCAGAGAATTCTCACATGTCTTTGGGCTTACAATTCATGTAATCCAAAGGGAGAACTGGAAAACATTATTTGAATTTGAAATGATAATTCAAGTGAGAATTTTTTTCATCAATTCACCCATCATATCTGATTGCCTATTTGTAAACAATCTTTAAACCATTTTCTATATTTCGAACTTACTCTCGCTTCTTATTAGAAAATAGGTTTCTATTTTGGTTATAGTTGGAGTTTTGGTTATAGGTATAGGTTTGGTTAGATTTTCGGCAAAGTGTATATATTCTGAGAGCTCTTTATGTTAAAATAAACCAAGATATGAATTTGTTGTCTTGGGTCTTCTTTTTCTGATTAAAAATAATCTGACTTACTCATTTCTACATTGCTCAGAGTTTACTTATTGGAGTTTCTTTTCAGTGAGAGAGAGCCAAATTGGATGTTGGTGGCTACTTTATGGTGTTTCTGTGCCTGTCCTGGCGTTTCATAGAACTTGATTTGTGGCTTGTTATTTGTCTCATAAACTGGAAATTTGCCACTAAATTCAAACACTGTTAAGTAGAGAGGTGAGAGCTGCCCCCTTCCCAGGAAGCCCTCCTCTTCCATTCTGCTAGACAGGATTCCAACATAATTTGGGGTTACTGTCCCGTGGATAGCTGCAATGTCAGGTGACACTGTTGTCATGAATTGTCACTGAAAGTTAAGACATTAAAATTGGAAGTAAGTGGGATGTAGGATCTGTGTGTTTGTAGACTGTGCAGTAGAGGGAGAGCCACCCTGTGATCTTTATGTAGACTACAGGACAATGGGGGCAAAACCTGATACCTACCTAGTCTGGTTTCATAGGCGCATGGACTTTCCGCCAAAGGACTTTAGAGATCATCTCCAAGCAGCCTCATCTTCCAGACAAGGACACTGACGCCCGAGGCCTTTGCAAGTGCACACCCAGTTAGTGGTCTTCTCGGAGCTGAGACTTAAACCCACATCTCCCAATCTTTGTTCAGAGCTCTCCCCAATATATTGCCCTGTTCCTCTATGACGTGCTGCTATATCCACCTCCTGTTTACCAACAAAACAGCCTCTGTAGATATATTTGAAGAATTCCTCTTTTGAAGAACATTTTTAGTTCTCAACATGTGGGGTTATTATTGAAATCAGGTCACAAAGATGCAAACATTGCAGTGTCTTTGGGACCCAGTGGCTCAGGACATCGACAAAATTATTTGCCTCTTTGGAGAGACGCAAGCTTGAAGGTCTAAAAACAAAATCTCCTGTAAATGTCCTCTTCTTCCAAAGTTTGTCACTGTGATAACCTGACAACAATCTGTCCGAAAACAGCTGCCAAGTTAAAAATTAATCTCTTGACAAAATAAATGTCATTTATTTAAACTGCTAATGATAAACGCATTTAAATAGTTTATTTTGCAAATCCCTTCAGAGAAGCCACTACAAAATATATGTCCCAGACCAGGTATGTGTATCGTAATTGGCTATAAGCAATTCTTCAAACAATAGTTACACTTGACAAGTGCTCCACCTGGGCTGCAGATATTTTAGATGACTTGATAACATACCAGAGAGAATCAGCGTCTTTCAAATGTTTACCCTTAGCTTAGCCTTTTAAGTATTTTGACTGGCTGTACTGTGTATGGGATTTCTTTTCTGTGACATAAAGTAGACCCCTGTGACTTAGTTTTTTCCGTAGAGTAACTGGAAGAGGACTTCCTTCTGGCAGCCAAAGCTTGGCATTAAACTGATATCTTGGTCCTCTTTCCTCAATTTATGGCTAAGGAATATAGTTGGGGATCAGTGAAAAAGTTTTGAGCCCAATGCATAATTCTAGGTGTGGACAAAGCCCTGGTGGGTGAGTAACCACAGGGCATCATGTTGCACATGGTCATGTCAGATGTACTATAAGATCCATGTGACTATAAAAGTATCCTGAGACGTTAATAAATTGAAGATTAATTTCCATGTTTTTTATTAAAAAATAAAAAATCCTGATGAGAGAATAGGTTCAACTGTATCAGTCATTTAGACCTTAGTGTGACTTAATTTTTACGAGTGTAGGAGGAGGAAGATTGTACAGGAGGAGGAAGAAGTCATGGCAAGAACATGAGCTTCACTGGTCACTTGACATGGGTAAAGAGGGGACATGACAGGGGCCAGCCCTCTGGTGTAGTGGTTAAGTGCGGCGCACTCCACTTCCGCAGCCCGGGTTCACGGGTTCGGATCCTGGGCACAGACCTACACCACTCATCAGCCATGCTGAGGTGGCAAACCACATAGAAAATACAGGAAGATTGGCACAGATGTTAGCTCAGGGCTAATCTTCCTCAAGCGAAAAAAAAAAGGAGCATGGCAAAAGGGCAAATTAGGAAGATCAGGCAGAAAGGAAGGTTTGGGGGTTCTTTGAAGATTCCTTTCAACCAATTCACAGTTTTACTGTGGACCAGAGAAGAATCTATTCTGTAAATATAATCTTTCTACTTCTTTCTTGGCACCAGATCTTACCCTTTTTGCTGCTCGCTATTCTTAGGAATGTGGTCTGTCACTAGGAGAAAACAACAGTACGTTGACTTTCATTCACTCAGCATGTATTTGTTAAGTACTCACTGTGTGTAAGGAATTAACCGTGCCGGATCTGTACGTACAGTTCTCAACACGGAAGGTTCATTTGCAACCCCATTGACGTTCAGAGGTTTGGTCCTGTGTGTTTGGTAGTCCGTGTGACCCAGCTGTATCCTGCCTCAGACCCTGATGTCAACAGTTCAGGCTCTAACGAGCATGAGACACTGCCAGCCTAGAGGGCATGTTTAGAGTAAACCATGACTTGAAGGCCACTGGGCTGTGTTAGATTCCACAAAAGTCCTTCCTTTAATGAAAACAAAATGCAAAAGAGAAGAGTTTAGTTTGGTTTTATTATTTGATTATGTATTATTTAATTTGTCTTGAAAGACTGCTATACATTTTTCCAAAAACGACAGCAATTCAATAAAATAAGGGCCTCTGTAGGAAAGGGCCTCTCTCTGAAGAGCTCATGCTTTTTATTGCAATCTGGTTTCGTCTGATATCTGCCGGGCACAGTAAGTACCAGACTGAAGATCACCCCCATCCCGGAGCAGCGCCAGGCTCCCATCCGCCCGCGTGTGCACGTTACCCTGGAGGCCCTTCCTTTCTTGTTTTCAGAAATTCTGTCAAAACACTTCAAGCAAAAGGAAAGGTTTCTTTTCCCTGATAAGTATGTGGGGCAATAATGAAAGCTTTCTCATTTAATAATAAGCGTTCAAAGATTTGAAATTAATAAAACTGTTCAAAATTCCTAGGCTGTTTAAATTGTTATTTTTAAAAATTTGAATTTCGTTTCAGTTGAGTGGGATTTGTCAAGTGTTTTATAGTCCTGTGGATTTCTTGCTTTAACAGAGCCACTCACTAGGGGAAGTTCCCTGAGGCCACATCCCCATCCGTAGGGCACCGGGTGAATAACGCCGGGAGCAGCTGTCCAGTGGAACACTATGCAGCCATGGCAGCAATGGGCAGCGTGGATGTTGACGTTGCACACATCCCAAGATGGAGTGTTGGTGCTAAGAGCAACTTAGAGTATAGCGCACATAATACAGTCTTATTCTCCTCTACCCCATGGATATGGGGTAGAGGATATGGGGTATGGCATGTGGATGGAGAACTTAAAATTTTTATTTTATATATCTTTCTGTCCTGTCCTTTTTTTAAATCATAAACTGGCCTTGCTTTTATATTAAATTAGTAAAGTAAGAGAAGTACAGTGAAATGCATATCCCCTCAACCCCCAGCCTCCGTCCTCCAGCCGGATCTGTGCTATTGTGTATTATTCACCTAAACTCTGTCCATGAGACTGCACACAGGTGCTGTGGATCCTTTTCAGATGTAGGTGTCTCCTCCAGGGTTGGGATGAATGTTGTGCTCTGGCTGTAGAGCAAGTCCTCGTTTCCCTGTGTTACAGATAATTGGCTTTATTCAGGCAGCACGGAAAGAGCTAGTCTAGCTGAGGCTTAGCTGGGGATGAAATGAGCAGCCTGACTGGTCAGGGAGTCACCAAGATGCGTGCAGGGTGTCCTCTGAGAGGACAGTACGTGGAGTGCAGCCTGAGATTTATACTCTCAAACAAGGCCTGGCCTCTGTCTCCTGAGGTTCAGGTAAAGGTCCTGTCCTATTTGGAAGAAGGGAGGGATGGCACAGAGACCATGTCATTATCACCAGTGGAAAGCTGAAGCTGCTATGCAACGTTTTTCTTGTGGCACCATGTTCATACCCATCTCATAAGGTTCCTTCATCTGACACACCAGCACCTCCTCTAGGCTACAGGCAATCCCCAGGCAAAGAGAATAAGCTATTCTTCTAATGTTTTTCCTTTGGTCAGATAACAAATGTAGATGAACAGAGACTAAAGATTTCTGCCTCAGTTTGTTTTATGTGTGAAATGGGATTATTAATAACGACCTGTTCTGGAGCATCCTCAGTGACCCTGAACTCGCCACCTGGGTTCCATGTATATGTAAGGTAGCATGTAAGTGTTTGACTTAGTGAATAAGAGTCAGGCTTTTGAAGTGGGGCAGGACTGGTTTAAAATGTAGACTTTGCTTCCTGTTTGCTGTATTACCTTAGGGAAGTTATTTAACCTTTCTGAGCTTTATAAAATGAGAATGATAAATTGTATATTACAAGGTTATGTTAGAATAAAGTGAGCCAACATATATAAAGGAATTAATTCAGTGCCTAACACTTGGTAAGTACTCAGTATATGATAGTTAATATTGGTGTTTGTGTGTCACATGAAGGTACTGCTATTTGGGGCCATTTTTGACCTAAAAAAATGTAGCAATATCGTACAATTTAAACCTCATAACTTAAACCCCACACCTCTACTTGTTTGCATATGTGGAGCCAGAATCTGCTTCTCTGTAACTTCTGCCTCTAGATGTAGGTGCTGCCCTTAGGGACCACACAATAAATTCAATTTCCTTTGTCCAGCTAGAACATTTCCAAAAAGAGAATAACAAATAAGTTACACAGTAGAAGACTATTTTCTGGTCTTTGGAAGTTGGTAGAATCCACTGTACCAGCTGTGCCCGTCGTGAAGCTGGTGTTGTCAACTCTCGACTACTTCGCTACCTTCTGCTTTAGGATGCTGCGGGTAGGACTCGGCTAACCCCGTTTCTGCCTGTACATCTGGATTCTTATTACGCTCTGCCAGGAGGGAGAGACTGAAAGGCTGGAGGAGGAAGGACACCCCCTCTTCTCCTTGCTTCCCTTAAGCTTCCTGTTTACGCCTGCATCATCCCAGCGACTTCTTTTAGTACCAGTATATATGTAAGCTCATTGTCACCTTACCTGACTCAGGTTTGCTGGTTGAACTGCCAGCCAATGATAATTGATTCTCAAGGTCTTTCCACACCAATATTTGTGAAATATACGCTATGTGCACTGCAGTGTTATGTACTTTGCATATATTATCTTATTGAATTCTCATATTAAACCTGCAAGATAGGTGTTCTCTTCATGTTCCAAGTGAGGGAATGGGCTCAGAGGAGTTGAGTGGCTTTCCCCAAGGTCATCGAGCTAGTCATGTCAGAGCTGAGAGTCAAACTTAGGTCTGCCTGGCTACACAGCATGGGCTCTTCCTGCCTCTTGGTGCATGCGGGCTCTCTTCCTCTGTCCAGCTGCCTCTCTCTCTTTGTGTGGTTAGTTCGGCCTTCTGAAAGTGTACTTTTCTTTACGTGTTGGGCAGCTCAGTCCCAGAAGGAATGCTCTCTCGTGTTCCGGTTGCCTGTGCCAGCTGGCCCTGCACCAGCCAGAAGTTGTATGCTTGCCTCTGCCTTTTCAGAGGCACTGGAATTTGTCTCTGTTCTTTTTGTAATGCACACAGGACTGGGCTATTAATCATGCCATGGGCCAGGCTGCATAACACCTCTGGAATAACAAATTACCCAGCTCCTGCCAAAATGAGTCACACCATGACCACGAAGGAAACTTATCTCTCCCTGCCTCTCTCCTCATCTTGTCCCTCCCTCTTCCCTTTCTTGTCTCCTGTGATCTGTCTTGCCAGTTGTAACTGGAACATTTTCTCCCGTATTTAAGTTCTGAAGTGTCTTTGGGACTCGCTAATGTATCCAAAGACTTAAACAAGGCCCATCAAGGACATTTATTGCTTTCTATCCTGGGCAGTTAAGCGTAGCTTACAAGCAGCTCTGGGTATATATGGCTAGGAATATAAATGTTCTTTTTGGAAAACAAAGGAACCCCAGCAAAAAAAATGATCCTGGGCTGTGCAAACCTTGTGTGTGTGTTTAGCGACAACTTTGAATACATCTTGAAATATAACAAAGAGAAAGGACAAGAGTTGTCTTCTTTAGTGTTCTATGCAGAGAAATTACTTGGAATCTGAGGGCAGTGGTATTGTGCAGGTGTGTTGTTATCCCCAGTTGAACTGAGCACTTGTAACGTTTATGTGAATAAGTTGACAGGCTCATGAATTAAAGAGTCCCCCCATTGGTCCTAGTGTGGGGTTAGCCCATGCCCGGCCATTTGCTCTAAGGTAGTTTGCACTTTAGGCACGAGGCTAGACCCCCTGGACAGCCCACTCCACGTTGTACGGGTTTCTGTCCAAATGCTGAATAGACCTGGGTGTCCCTCACAGGAGTCTGAGAAGTTCAGTTCTAGGGAATGGCTCAGCACGGATTTCATAGTTCCCTTCCAGTGATATCTCCTTTTCATGTGGCCTTGACGTTGTTTGATAGGAATAGCGAGGCAATTTCACTTTGCTCTCTAATCTGAGTGAGGTGACGGGTGCGAATTTGGAATAATGTACAAATGCAGGATGTATTTAAAATTAAAGGAGGATGAGAGTCTGTATCAGAATTGTGGACCATTGAGCCAAATTTCACGTTATGTTTTCTTACTAATCTACTGAGAGGCTGAAGCAGCGAGCCTCTTTTTGGGGTTCCGTAACCTGGTTTTCCCCATCTCCTGATTTGCCCCCTCTTTTGCAATATTTAGAGACTACTGAGCTGTAGACAGAGTGGGGGAGAAGCATACTGTTAGAGATGGAGATTTCACAGGTAGAGGTGCAGGCATCTAGAAAATTCTAGTAAGAGCATAAAAGTCAGTCTGAGCAGAAGAAAGAAAATAAGAGTATAGGCTCTCTGTTGTTTGTATTAGTCGAATTACAAGATAGAAGATATTGTTCATTCACTCAACAAATATATCAGGCACCTACTACTCTGCCCGGCTCTGTTCTCAGCACTGGGAATACATCAGTAAAGACCACCATGCAAAGGTGGCCCTGCCCTCATCTGATTTGGTTAAACCATATGAAATAGCTGTTTCCGTAGGTTAAAAACTATTGGCGATAAATATGCATTTACTGTATGATCCAGCCATTCCATTCCTAAGTGTTTACTTAAAGGAAATAAAAGCAAACCTCCACACAAAGACTTGTACGTGAGGTTTGTGACAGCTTTATATGTAATAGCCCAAACTGGAAACAGCCCAAATGGCCCTCAACGAGTGAGCGGATCGCAAACCGTGGTGCCTCCATACAGTGGGACGCTACTTGACAATAAAAAGGAATGAGGTATGATACACACTACAACAGGGATGGACCTCAAACACGTTGTGCTAAATGAAAGAAACCGGATGATTTCATTTATATAAACCTTCAGAAGATGCAAACTAACCCACAGTGGCAGAAAGCAGATCAGTGGTTTCCTTGGAATAGGAAGTGGGGCTGGGGACAGAAAGGGCGTGAGGGAGAGACTACAGAGGGGCTAGTGGACCTTTTGGGGGTCATGGATTTGTTTACTGTCTTGATTGTGGTGATGGTTTCACAGGCGTATGCATATGTCCGACCTTATCAAATGGTACGCTTTAAATATACACAGTTTATTGTTTGACAATGATACCTCAATAAAGGTGTTAAAACAGTCAAATGGCAGCAATTTCATGTGGTTCAATCGGTAGATAAATTTCAGTGATGAACTAATTTTTAAAACCTTATATTCATTTTTCGTATGTGTATTGAAAACTCGCCATGTGTCAGGCACCGTGAAAGCTGTTGTCAGTGAGAAGTGAACGAGGCTGTTTGTGCCTTTTACCCCAGTGGGTGAAATCAGTTTGTGAAGAGACAACTGAATGGCTTTCTCCCAGGCAGTTTTGAAGCCATTACCAGGTTTAACCGTATTGTCGTTTGTTGACTGCATTTATGCATGTGTCTGTGCCTTCCTTCTTTTTCAGAGTGACTTGTGGTCTTTGGGAATCACTGCCATCGAGATGGCAGAAGGTGCTCCCCGTAAGTACCTTCCTCTGAGTGACATCTGTTGCTGGTCTGCTCTGCGGGGGCTGGAGGTTCCTTGCCAGGAGCTGCAGTGGCTTCACTTCTGCTGCACCGAGCCCTGCATGGATTCGAGCTGGCGCATTTAGAAAGCAGAGTCATCTGAAATCAACCGGGAATCCATTCATTTCACAGTGGCGTGAGGCTGTTGTATTTCTGGGGTGAAAAAGAAAAAGAAGGGGAGCAAACTTTGGAGAGGTTTGCTTGTTTTACAGATTCAGTGTGTAGCTTATACTTGAACTGCTCTTCACCTCACATAAAACTGGGACCAACCCACAAAGACGGTAAACTCCAACTTAATGAAAATTCAAAGCCGATTTTCAGTGCACAGGTTATGCAAACACTTTTCCTCAGTTGCTCTCATTCCTATGAAAATATGAATGTATACACTTTTATATTTCCCTGCTGTTATTTGAGGCAGAGTAGCCAGGGCTCTGGCCATCTGGAGAACCTCTCAAATTCCTTGAGATCCGGAGTATTGGCACTGCGGAGGGCCCCTCCCAGCCCTGAGGTGGCCCTGGAATGTGCCTCAAAGACTTCCATGCAGGAGGCACAGCTGACCCAGGGCCCGGCTGTGGCAATGGTACCAAGATTGCACCTCCCAAGGGCCACCCCCCATCAGTGAGCGAGCTTGGCAAGGATGTAAGGCAGGCCTTTCGGGAAGTCACAGGGTTCCTGCGTAGGCAGCCTTCACTCAAGTGATCGCCTATGACTTGGCAAATCCCCCTGAGACTGCAGGACAGTCCAGTACGCTTCCGCCTACTTTTCCTCCCTCTCTCCTTCCCTCGGGGTGTGACAACTCTCCCAGTCATCCCTGGCTCCCTCCCTATTTCCTTTCACGCAGGAATTTTCCCAAGTAATACCCTCTCATGTTTAATGCCACCTTGGTGTCTGCTTTTCAGAAGCCCTGGACCAAAACAGGCCCCTTATTTGCATGGCGGGTCATTATGGTCATCTGACTTTTTATCTTCAAGTTACCGCACTCTTCATATTTCTCTCAAGAGCTGGTGGAATTGATCTGTAGCATGATTGATTTGGAGTGTTTGTTGACAAAATTCCCCTCATCCACAATGCTAATAGGCATTTATGAATCAGAAAAATAATAGATTGCAGGCTTAAGTCCATATTATCATTCTTGATGAATAATAAAGGGGGTAAAAATAAACTTCTACCCACAGAATCGTTTTGCTTTTAGGGAGAGTACATTCTTATTCTAGGCACAAAGAAAAAGATACTCCCAGATGTTCGAAAAGTAAACTAGTGAAATATTTTGATTAAAATAAGACCGTATGAGTGCTTTCACTATAAACGATAATGTCATGTTTACAAGTTGAGATATTTTTATAACTTTTTCTGTCAGACTGTGCTCCGGTCTTCCTGGGGCCAGGGAACAAAGCAAAACAGATCGAAAAACAAAAACAAAAAAACCCATCATGAAACCTGAAAGGCCATTCAGGATATTTAGAAATACAGAGAGAAAGGTGTTCTGCTCAGTGCCTTAGACTCCAAAAATCTACGGAGATGAGATTGTGTCTGGATGAGCCGTCAGTGTAGAGAAATAGGCCATAGATTATCAAATATCTTTTATTTTATGACTTAGTCTTTTACTAATTAAAAATGATTTACCATTTCCATTGCAGCTGTTATCTTGATGTTGTTTACTTTGAATCTTAGACAGTTATTTACAGCAAAGTAAAGGTTGTTGACCCTTTAACTTAGTTTCCTTAAGTATGAAGCAAATGTAGAAATATTTACAATATCTGTTTGAAACATGTTGTATCTTATGACACTCCTGTGGTTAGACGTCACTCCTTTAAATGCTTGCTAAATGGAAGCTCTGTGGCCTTCCGACTCTGCTCGCTGGTCATGCGTGGACTCAGGGAGCCATTTGGCAGCGTCAGCTCTACAGCTAGGATGGCTTGGCCTGGGTTTGGCCTCCTAACCCGAGCTGGCCCTTGTTCTGGTCTCTTGCAGCTCTCTGTGACATGCACCCCATGAGAGCCCTCTTCCTCATCCCCCGGAACCCAGCGCCGCGGCTGAAGTCCAAGAAGTGGTGAGTGCAGACCTGAAGGCAGGGTTGCCCTCTGATTCTCTTTTGGATGAGCCAAATCCTTAGGGCCTGCTGACAGTGAGTCTAATCCTGAGACTTGGTGAGTGATTTTCCATGTGCTGTCGCTCATCATACAGTACATATTATGTACCTACTATCTGCACAGCAAGTCTTTATTCCCACAAGTTCAAGATAAGGAGCTGTAAGCTCCAATGGGTAGTGGAACCCGAGTAATAAGATAGAAGCTCTTTGATCAATCGCTCCAAGTGATCTCTTTCCTGGCCTGCAGAATATCTCATCAGAGAGGTGACAGTTCAGAGAGTCACCTCGTTAGATTGGCCGCCTTTTCTTTTGCTCCTTAAGACAGTAATTCCCTAAATGCATACACACACCTGGTAGTATGCGAGGTGATTTCACGGGTCTGTGCATGAACGTTTGTAATTTTTGTTTTTACTGTTGCTTTCTCTTTATGGCGGGTGATGCTGGCTTCTTATTTGGGGCAGTGATATAACCTTTCCATTTAATAAACTTATTCACATAAAAAGTGACTTAATTTAAAGAAAAATCCTTAGTGAATTCTTGTATGGGTGGTATACAGATTTGGTGAAAGGTGTGTTGGTCATGTATGAGTGACTGAAGTTTGGGAAGCAGACTTCTACAGGTTAGGCCAGAAAATGGACTTTTGACTTTTTTGTGTATTTATATCAGGGTCTATGACAAAAATTCATTGCTCCTTCCCTCCCCCTGTGGATGTGGTGTATTCTCTCCCATAGATTCTTGAATTCTGATTCCACTTGCCCTGGGGCCAATTCCTGGACCGCTAGGACTGCCTGTCCTTTTCTGGAGACGCAGGCTGGGCAGTTGGGAGAGTGAAGGGCCAGGACCATCCCGCCCCTTTTCACACCACTCCATGATCAGGCCTTGACTGGGCCCCTTCTGTTTCTCACCCACCCTCCGCTATCCAGAGAGCAGTCCTGGTTGATACCAGTCACCCAGGAGTGACAGAGCAGCCCTGGCGGAGCTGCACAGAGACAGGGAAGGGAGATCAGGAAGCGGGGACAGCCTCTGAGTTGCTGAGGCCTGCGCTGCTGCCAGGAGAGTGAGAGTTGCTATTGGTAACAAGGAGGGAGAGCCGGCCCTGCTCCTCCTCTCCGGAGGGTCACTGTGCTGAGAGACAGTCGTTCTCTCCCCAGCAACAGCCTTCCATTGGGCACCGGCACAGCGTGCGATTGATGGGCGCCCGGAGGCCCTGCGTCCTCCTCCTCCCTGGAACAGACTCGGGAGAGAGGAGTCGGCTCAGTTCTGTCCCCTGGAAGCGTCAGTGGCACTACAAAGCCCTCTGCTAGATTTCTGCCGGCTTTTCGTGCCAAGCCTCCCCATGGGGCCTGCTGTATACAGTGGGTGTTACTTACTTACCTCGTTCCCTCTCTGCCTTCTCTGCTCCCCGCCCTGCTGCCGGACAGATGTTCCAAGCTCTTCCACAGAGGACAGACTGGCCATCAGCATAGCTGTTTTGTCTTATTGGCACAGTTTGGCCACACACCGTGTTTCAGAAATATTTATATTAATTGCCAACTTTTAAAAACCTGGTGATTGAGCATTCCATGGAGATGTCTGGGCTTTTATGCAAAGAGGCAGCCATACTCCCTGCCCAGTGGCTCCCGCTCCTTTTAGGGACCGAGGCTGTCCTCCGAGGCTGCACCAGTCGCCGCCTCTCCCAAATCAGAAGCTGGAGCCAGTTGGTGGCACCCTGTCCTGTTTTCCTCTCAGCCCTGGCCTGCGCCGCCCTTCCTGTGACCCGGCCGGCCCCTCAGGAAAGTCAGGGAACACCCCTGCACCACGGCCTCAGTGTTCATTGAGCTGGCCCAGAAAGATCAGCTCTGCCCTGACCTTGTTTGAGAAGTACAGACATGGGGGAGGATACAGGCTGACTTTTCTGCTTCAAACCTTTGACGAGAACTGATTCAGATCGTGTTGGAGGGAGCGGGATCAGTCCCGGAGTGTGAGGGGACCAGGCCCCTTCCCCTCCCCAGCACCTGGCCCACCTTGCCCGCCTAGGAGGGGAGCAGGTGAGGAGCCGGCCACACTGCCTGACAGGGAGAGGGAAGAGCACGGGCTGCTTGAGAGCGAGTGGGGGAAACAGCCCTGGTGAGGGCCTCTTCCTCCCTCAGAAGCAGCCTTTCCACAGATGGTTGTGCAGCCCCTGGCCACAGGACACTTGGTGTGGCTCCCACTCCTCTAGAATGGGATTCTAGTTTCTGAGTGAAAAGATTTAAGCACTTCACGGTGCTCTGTCGTGAAGGGCCAGGTCGATAGCGATTTCAAATAGGTTAGTGTTTGCCTAACTATCCTTTAGTGTTTGAGAGGAAGTAAAATATTTTGTTTATTTTCCTATTTTTTTCTTAGGAAGGGACTCGCCTGTCCCCTAAGAAGAGAAACAAAACTCCCAAATCTTTTATTTCTTTTATTTCTAGATACTCTCTCCCTAAGTGAGTTCTCAGATGAAGTACACTGTTCTCAGTGTACATACCAACATTTTACCAAAGGGGGCGCCATTGTCCTAGAGACGGCCATGAACTCTTCATTATAAGGGTTCCATTGAGGGCCATTTCCAGCTAACAGTACTGAACCTACAACATATGGGGCCCATAAAGCATACGTATGTCATGGACTCAGGAACCTATATATATATGTGTGTGTGCATGTGTATAAATTTAAGACATATATATAATCTTAAACCCAACCCTGCCGGACAGGGTGCTCTGAGTCCTCATTTCATGGGCGAGAGACTGAGGCTTCACAAGGCTGTGCAGTCTTAGTTTCCCAAGTTGTAACCCGCATTCTTTCTACTGCACATTTGGTCTCTTAAAGTTCAGGATTGGAGCGGTAGAGAAGGAGCTGGACTGGTCTCTTGGTTGAACACTGTTTTCCTTGGGAAAAGGAAAGGGAGCGGTAGCGTGCTCTTTGCCCCTTTCGAGGCGGAAGGAGAGGAGAGCAGCTGCACTCGCGGGAACCGGCCCTCCCTGCCCCGCCAGCGTGATGAGGAGAGGCCTTGCAGCCGAGGAAGCCCTGTCGGGGCTCCAGCCAGTGCTCAGGCGGCTCGGCCTAATAGTTAGGTCTCTGGGAGGATTATAACCTTAGTTGAATCAGAGGAGAACGACAATGCTCTCAGCCTCTGTCCCCATGTCACCACCAGCAAATGAACAGTAGGTTGGGACTCCCATTTCCTCCTCGTGTCTCCATGGCTGGTTGGATTCAGCCCACATGGGGAAACCTTCTTCAGAAGCTGTCCTCCTCCCTTCTCCTCCCGCCCACCTCTCCCGCTTCCGCATGGACACGCAGTGCTCTAGCTTCCCTCCAGGCATTTCTGGAGAAGGACGGCATGACTTCGTCCCCGTAAAAGGTGGCCAGTCTCATTCTTTTCACATGCCCTTAGAATGTGAAGACTTCACACAGGCAAAGCAGTGCTCAGTTGAGTTCACTGAAAAAATCATAATTGCTTATCACTGGAAAGAGATATGAGATTCCGTGGTCCCAACCACTGGCGCTCCAGATGAAGACTGGGAGGCCTGGTGAGGTAACCAGTGTATCCAGAGTGCCAGGCACATCACTGGGCAAGCCAGCCTGGAACCCCAGCCTTCTGCTTTTACTCCGAAGTTTACAGCTACTCCTCTAATATTAGGAAACGCCAGTTCTGATTCTTGGTTTTCTAAAACTTTTGTGTTAGGAAATGACAAAGCTTTGTGTGTGTGTGTTCTAAATAAAATAATGATAGTAGAAAGCAAATATCAGAAAATAATTCGAATAGGCTGAATGTGCTAGTAGTAGTGTGACTTTGGACTTTATTAAAATCAAAAGAAAAATTGCTATGTAAACTTTTAAAATTAACCCTTTTTTGCGCAGTCTCCTTGGAGATAGCAGTCCTGTTGACTCTTCCTGCTAGCATATCTAATCTAAATATATGTGAAATAGTGCCGTTAAAGAACGCCGTACGATTCAGTTCAAGAGAAGTTGGGAAAAACACCTTCAGATTTGTGCTTCCAGCCCTAAAGGCAGATGCTCCTGTTCTTTAAACCTGGTGATGGTCAGAGGTTGCTGGCACATCGTCCTCAGAGAGGTGTTATAATAATAATAACAAGAATAGGAAACGCATACAGCATTTATGACGTGACAGGCACCGCTCTAAGCATTTTATGTGAATTAACTCATTTATCATCACAACAGTCTTTTGAGATAAGTACTAACAATATCCCCATTTGCAGCCCAGGAAACTGAGGCACAGAGAAGTTAAGTAATTTGCTCAAAGTCACATAGTAAGTGATGAAGCCTGGAGTAGAGAAAAAGGGTAGTTCTGGGCAAATGCACATTTTAAAGATCAAATTGCATTGAGAGAGTCTGACGATTACCAAAAACTTTGAGCCTGGCTGGTTATAATGATTAATGTAATAATCTCTCAGGCATTTTTAATTTCCGTAACACAATTTCATGTACAAACAGGGAAAGTCTGGGAAGATAAAGTGTTCAGTGACACTGGTTTCCGAAGAACTAGTGCCTCAGACTGTAAACACCAATCATTAGCATTTTTCTCTCCATGCCAACCCTTGGGAAATTAGTACTACTAATCTTAGGCATTTTTTTTTAAAGAGACAGAACTAAATTATTGGCGGCAGAGTTTCAAACAATAAAGTTATCTAAATTGACTTTTCAACCCATTAGACCACTCAGCAGTAAGGTGGTGTTCCGCACAGGTGAAGTGTTTCTACTTTTAATTAAATGTGTAATCAAGCATATTGATTCTTTGGTCACACTAACTTAAATAAGAGACAATGAATCTTTTCTTTGAAGATTTGTTTTAAGTAAGCATTATTTCCTCTTCAAACAGCACCATTTGAAGAAGACGTGGGCTACATTACCAGCTTTGGGGTTCTGCACATCTTGGCCCATCCTTTGGGCCCAAAGTTATTCTCTTGAATATTTCTTGAGGTTCCTTCCCGTCGGGAGAGAGAACGGAAAAGGATTCTGTGCCTACAGCTGGTTCCTTAAGCCTCTTGAGCGCTCTCTCATCCTGGAGATTTCTCTGACTTTTTTTAGGTGTCAGTATTGAGAAGTGGAATGTACAGTCTGCATCTCATTTTTAAATTGGATGTGATTTCTTTTATTTATCATCCTCTAATTAATGGTTGACACTTTATAATAAAGAAGCACTTCCTTCTAGTTGCAAGCAGGAAAAAGAGAACTACTATTTGCATTCCTTGTGAATATTTAATAGCTTTCTGTCTTCATTTACTTTTGTTTTCATCTTTTTAACACTGATTTTTCTACCTAGCAAAGCGCTGTGTAGAGTTGGTCTATTTTTTATGCAAGTTAGCCTCATTCTCTTCGTTTTATTCCTTAGGAGAGTCCATTATTTCCTTATGGTTTTTCTGGTGAGGGCTCCCCTTAGATGCCACTACGTTTGTGCCTCCACAGTTTTGTTTGAGAAACAACTTTGATCTGAGAAAGAAAGCAAAGTAAATAATATCTACCTCTGAACCTCCCTCTCTGCCCCTCACAAGCACGGATTTGAAGGGAGCTGTGTTACAGCTCTGGCCCAGAACGCTCATCCGATTACCGTTCACGCATTCATTCACTCATCAAACATGTAAGGGCAGGGATTGTGCTCATGGCATGAAGATGACTCAGGCACATCCGACACTGTGGAGAATTTCTAGTGTGGAGGAAGCAGGGATAGGGGCTGAAGGACTCACAGGGAGGGCGTGAAGTGTCCATCCTGTTGTCACTATTTCTAGTCCACAGCGTAGCCAATCTTGACTCATCCTGGGGTGACCCCAAGGATAGCAGCTTACTTTTACTTCTATGTAAAATCATTTAAAAGCTTGAACATAGCTTTGTAATTTAGGGAGGAAAATGAATACCAGTAATTCAGTACTTCAAAAGCATGGAATAAGGTGAAAAGCCGCTTGGACGTGGGCGATGTGGAGAGTGGCGCATGCATGAGTGCCCTCTCGCATCTGAACCTTGAAGAACTTGCTCTCCACTGTGTGCTGTGTGGTGAGGACGCCTTTCAGGCCTGAAGTATTTATAGAGGGCCTGCTAGGAAGCCTGGGAAAGACTTGCTCCTGGGATCCGCTCCTGTAACTCCACAGTGCTCCACAGGAGGGCGCCAGAGAGCACAAAATGGATTCCCTCCTGCTCTGAGCAGGGTGGGGATCGTGAGGAGGGTGATAGAGCTCACCGAGGTCTCCGAGGGTGACTGCTCTCCTGCCAGTGGAGTGCCTCGGACAGGCATGCTATAGAGTCATGAGCTTAATTATTTATGATGCTCGACAATTTCCTGGAACTCTCAGCAAGAACGTGCGTGCCCAATTCATGACTCATAGCTAAAGTCCACCATTAGTTTCTCCCACGTTGTGGACTTGCTGCCCTAATTCTTGGTGTGGTATCTCTCACCAGTTCTCCCCTGCCCCTGTGCGCCTCTGTCCCCATGTCTCTGTGTGTTATCTTTGAGGAAATAGTGCCTTTCTAGAGAAAGATAAGTTTGCCTCTGGGTATGAACTTAGTCCCTCAAAGTGTTTCCAAGTCCTTGGGTTGATAGCAAACGCACATACATCCTGTTCCAACTAATTGGAAAGCAAAGTTCAAAAGTGATTCTGAAATTACCAGCGGAAAAATTTGCCTAATCAAGTCCCTTTACCGTATGAGAATCTGGCTCGTTTCTACAAAATGTCCTCCCCCTCACTCACCTGTCCCACCTTGGCTTTGCATTTCCCGGCCTTGCACATCCTGCCTCCTGTAGGCAGCTCGGCTCAGTGTCCCCTGACGGCTAGTGTGCTCACTCCCTGCTCTGGTTTCTCACTCTTTTCCTGCCTCCCTGAACTACCCCTTCCCCTGAGGGGTTTTCTCCTCATTCTTTGGGGGCTGGCTCTGGTTCCCTCGTTCCAATATACCTTCCAGGCATGATGCTCACTGGAATCTTTCTCTCCTCTGATTCCTTTTGGTCTTCTGTGTGACATTATGTATAAACTGTGCAAAAATGTTTTCATGTCTGTAACTACCACACATTGCCTGAATCGTCTGCTGGTGGTGATGATGCCTTGAGCCCCATTGTGCCTAATAAAGGGCTAGACCTACTCTGTGACTGGTTGATCCCTATGTTGGCTCATTGAACCTATTTTTTTTTTATTCCAGTATTTCAGACGATATAAGTTTGCTTTTCTTTCGACTGTCTTTATCTGTCGATTCCTCTCTTTCGTTTGGCAGGTCAAAAAAGTTCCAGTCATTTATTGAGAGCTGCCTGGTGAAGAGTCACAGCCAGCGACCAGCCACGGAACAACTGATGAAGCATCCGTTTATACGAGACCAGCCTAATGACCGACAGGTCCGCATCCAACTCAAGGACCATATCGATAGAACAAAGAAGAAGCGAGGAGAGAAAGGTTAGCATTTGTGTTTCAGCAGGGGAAACAAAGGATGGAGTGAGTCATGGGCTCTTAATGTATTCGGAGGTGACCGTGGGGATTTTGAAGGGACCTGCCTTCTGCTTTGGTGTGAGGGGCTGCTTTTGAGATCACAGCCTGTGGGCCTCCATGGGGTGAGACGGCTGCAATGGAATATTCATGAAAGAATAGAACTGCGGGAAATATTACCTTCTCCAGGCACTGAACAAAAAGTCATGTTGAGTGATACTCTGGAGTGGTTTAATATGACAAGCGATTTTCTTAATTCAAATGAATATTCATGTGTAGAAGACTGAAAATCTACCGAAGACAGACAACCTAAAAAAATACCACCCAGTTGACATTTTTTCTACTGGCAGTCTTCAGCATTTACATTTTCATGCTCTGAGGCTCATTTCTAATTTAGTTATTAGAAAGTCAGAATAAATGTTCTGATAGTCACAGTAATATAAAAGAGGTTGCCAGGCTTGCTCTCTGGAACATCGAATTTTGAGCTGGAAGATCATTTAATGCACTTTATTTTATAGATTCAGAAACGCTTATGTCTGTGGCTCTAGCAGTTGCACCACACTGTCTTTTCCCTGCATCGTTGGAAAGGACGTGCGTCCAGACTTGAGGTCCTGGGGCTGTACTCTACTTATTTGAATAGTGACTCAGCATTCCTTAACTAGCGTCCTGACCAGGTTTTATGGCTACTTGGGTCGGGAGGTAGGGAAGCTGCGGTATGGGAAGGAAAGGGAAAGATGCAGAGGACAGTGGGAGTGAGTTGTCCCTGGGCGGGAGCGGGACTGGGCAGCTGGCGGGGGGATGGCAGTGAGGAGGCAGGATGTGGCTGCGAGGTGCTCACCAAGTGTGCAGGGAGTGGAGAGGAGAGGGAAGGCCAGGGGCCGAAGATGGGAGGTGCGTGGCGCTGTGCTTTTCCTCACTTTGATCCTCCCCGCCTTTCTCCTCTGTTCTTCACAATCCAGGGGGAGTGGTGGCAGGTGGTGGGCAGAACAGGACAGGGGATGCTCTCCTTCTATTTGAATTTCTCGTCTTCTTTGCCTCCATGGTTAATATCTATGGTGTGGTAAGGTGTGCCTGGGGACCTAGGGTGGGGGAGGGAACAGTGTAGGAGCCAAGACTGGGCAGAGGTAAGATCAGCAGAGGGCTCAGGGAGGTGAAGTGCTCAGACTTTTGTTTTGAGACTCAAATTCTGAGTTCAAATCTAGTTCTACCCCTTCATATTTATGTGAACTTCACCTCAGTTTTCTCATCTTTAACATAGGAGTGGGGGTATCATCATAGTTAGTATTGCCTGGGAGTGTTGCAAAGATTAACTGAGAGAGTGCCTGTGAAACGCTTAATACACTGGCGCATAGACATACTCAATAAATATTAGATGTTTTTGTTTAGACAATTCTTCATTGACCTATAATTTTTCAGCACTGTTCAGGGTTACTTTCCGAGAACTTGTGACCTCTCTGCCTCTGGCCTGTGAGTAAGCATGGATAAAGCTTGTGCCTTGGGTTGTTTTCACATTTTTTGGGTGCAGACTCTGGAATGTGACTGAGAACTCGCCATCTTGTGAACATGGACATTTTATGTGTTTTAGTGCAAAGCAGAAGAGTGAGATTCTTGGTGGCAGGTGTATTCAAGAGTTACAGGGCAATTTAAGGAACCTAATTCCCTTTAAGCTTAGAGCCACTAGAAGCCCTCATTTTTATCTGCTCCCCGAGGAGGAGTATTGATCATATGAGATCTCCTTCCATTTGCTCAGTTTGACCAAATGACTTAATTTGCTCCAATACTTTTGTCACTCTCTTAGTAGCTCTGAGACCAGCTTTTTGGTGGAATCAAACAATTTTAATTTGTATTGCTTTATGATTTTTTTTACCTGATATTATTTTTTCCTTAAGATATGTTTATGCATACTAATTTAAGCAAGTAATATAAAAGCAATCAAACCAGGTTCTGGTGAAGTCTTACAGCAGAACCTGATGAAGGAGGGTTTTACCCTAGAGAGCAGAATTAATTGGATTAGTTGTGTGCTTCCTTTCCTTGCTGTAATTTCCTTTAGGAGATAAAGTATCTGCATTTTACTTTGAATTCTGTGTTGATTCATCTCAGGAAAGTTTGGAATGTTAATCTTTCAATATGGATTATTGAAACACTTTATGAAGGTTCTTTACGTTTTGGTGAAATAGTACTTAAAAAATAAGTAGCCTGAAAACTTCATACATATCTAAATTTATGAAGCTAATTAGTGATTTAAAAAAAAATACACTTGAAGTCATCACACTTGGCTTCCTTTCTTCATCCTTTTAATGACTAAATAGCACAGCAGGCAAAGGGTGTTTATGATCAGATTTGGTAGTTCTCATCATGTGACTGCTGCCTCCTGGTGATGACATAGCCAAATTGCAGTTTCAGTTCCTTTTTAATGGTGCACAACTGTCTTCAAAGTTGTAATTTCTAACTCGCAGCTATGAAAGGACAACAGTAATGTGACACCCTCCCTTGATTAAAATTAAAAGCTCCTCCCCACTGCCCACAGAAAAGTCCACAGCATGGTTCATATAAGGATCAGCAAGCCGTATCAGCCTGCTGGCCTTCTCACTCCATCTGCTTTTCTCACACCCAGACAGATAGCCATCAGGACTCATTGTTTCCTGAACATGTCAGTATCCCTGTGATACTCAGGGGGTTAGGTTGCTTAGAATGCCCTTTCCCACCACTTTCAGCTGCCATCTGCCTGGAGAAGGGCCATGGACCTTCCAAAGCCCCACTCATTTCCTCCTCAAAGACTTCACTGTCTACCCCCCATTATGACCAGTGGACTTAGCTGCTTCTTTCTTTGATATCTCATTGCTTTTTTAATGTACTTCTATTTAGCATATAATATGTTGGAAAGAACATCAGTTTTAAAGTTGGAAAAGTTCTGGATTGAATTCTAGATCCAAATCCCAGGTTTATTAATGAGATAACATTGGTCATGTCACTTAATCTCTTATAATCTCAGTATCTTTGCTTGAAAAATGGGTTTTTATGAAAAAATAAATGAGAGAACACAGGTAAAGTACTTAGCATGGTGACTGGCATGGGAGACACCAATAAAGGTTAGTCCCTTTTCTTCATAATCATGGGAACTCTGATTATTTACTTGTCCATCTTGCCCAGTAAATTCTGATCTCCTCCAAAGCAAAGACTCAGTCTTATTCATTATTGCATGTTAACCTGCTTAACATATTACTGAATTATTTTACATATTCATGAATTCAATGAATGTCCCCAGTGGGTCAATCTAAACACATGTAACTCTGTATTTTTAATAGCACATTGTCAGAAGTTTCTTTCTGGTATTTATCAAGATATCTAAAAGCAATTTGTGAGTCCATGTAAGTCATAACAGAGCTCCTACATAAAAAATGATAAAAGCCATCAATAAGTTAACAGTGGGCCAATAAAAGATTGGTTTAGATGGTCCTATAATGGACTTTAACACAAACTGAAAAGGTATTTTTCAGTTCCTTGTCTTCATTTTCATGTGAACGCCAGGCATTAGGGACAGATATGGAGAGTCAGCTGGGATAGTCTTTTTTTTTTAAGATTTTATTTTTCATTTTTTTCTCCCCAGTGCTCCCCAGTACACAGTTGTATATATTTTAGTTGTGGGTCCTTCTAGTTGTGGCATGTGGGACACCACCTCAGCATGGCTTGATGAGTGGTGCCATGTCTGCGCCCAGGATCCAAACCAGCAAAACCCTGGGCCGCCAAAGCTGAGTGTGTGAACTTAACCTCTCAGCCACGGGGCCAGTCCATGGGACAGTCTTGGATGGGATTAATTCCATGGACTTGAATCCAGCTGGTGGGAACCGTTAGCACACAAGTCAGGAGGCCTGGAGCTTGTCCCAGCTCAGCGTTAGTGACAACTCTTTGGGCCTCATTTACTTACTGATAAAACAAGGGGGGCCGGGCGGCGGGGCGCTTTGCTGAGCTGTAGCATCTTTGGTGCACTAACATTCTGTGAGTCTCTCTTCAGATGAGACCGAGTATGAGTACAGCGGAAGTGAGGAGGAAGAGGAGGAGAACGACTCAGGAGAGCCCAGGTGGGAAAGGCAGAACCGTCTTCTCATTTCCACGTTCTGAATTGTGCTTGTGTGAGATTCACTTCCTTTTGATTTATAGGTTCATTTTTTAAGAATCCAGCAGGGTGATCTTATTTAATTTATTGCCCACAAACATACTCATTAATTTGGGAAAATTTCCCTAAGCAGACTCTTAACGAAAACGTGGAAATCAGCATATTCTTTATCTTGTCCCCCAAGATTTATGGTCTCTCTTCTAAGACCTTGTTTCCTCACTAGTTAACATGGAGAATGAGCAGAAGGCAATTATCTGGGCAATACAGGACTAAAAGTACCCAAAACTGCAACTTTCTGGGAACCTCAGTGGTATTTTTGGACTTGAGTTGCTCGGTTCATTACTCCCTACCTTTGAGAAGCCCATGAGGACAGCCAGTGTCCTTGTCACATGCCTTGGTATTTTCACTGCAGCCAAATCCAAGAGGAAATGATTTCCGGGAAATGAAGTTATACTCCAGAGGTGAACCCTAAGTGGAAGCTTTTGTGCCCATTCTGGCTGTCTGGGTTGGACCGCAGTCAAGTGCTGCTCCATTATTATCTCCCCTACGTTTTGATTTTCACTTGACTTTGACTCTGACTTTCCTCTAGTCTGTGTTCATAAACAAAGGCCCGTGAGCTCACACTGCTAAGATTTCTCTCTCGTGAGAGAATTCAGCTCATGGCAGTTTGGTGGGTCAAGGGGTGCAGGCCTACACACCATGGCGGGTACACTGAACATGTGAAGTGAGATTTATTGGGGAAAACGCTCAAGTAGAAGGGTCACCAGGGTATTTGGGTCTCTGTCCTCTAGCCTTCCAAGGAGGGGACCCCAGTGCTTCAGGAGAAGGAACAGGTCCCGTACCACTGAGGCAGAGCTTCCTGAGCAGGGGAAAGGCCAGCACAGCCACTGCTGCCAGAATGAGCCGGCTCAGACCTCCCGGGCTGGATTATTGCTAAACTACGGGAAGAGGGCGGCACTGAGCTTACAGGGCCATCCGGGTTTTCTCTTTTCACCTGCTCTGGGAATCTTCAAGGTCAAAGACTGAAGGGGAATTCTTCCCTTCCATCTGATGTCCCCAGTTTAGCTGCATGAAGGTGATGACTGTCAGGTGATGACATGGAAAATGAACATTTTTGGAAGGCAAAGCACCAAATGCCCTGCTTTCAGAGAAGGTGTACACTGTTTTTCCAGAGCGCACCCAGACGGTCATGTCAGCCCTTCTGATCACTGTCCTTGGAACTGAGAAGCCCTGTTGTAACTAATACTTACTAAACTGTGTGAGTCACTTAGTGGGCTGACCTAGCCATGCCTTAACACTTCTATAATTGTAGCATGTCATGATATCACATTGAAGATTATAGTCCAAGTCTTGTTTTATGGACACATGTAATTAATCTTCATGAAATCCTGAAAAGCAGAAAGGGACAATGGTTATCTCATTTTAGAAATGAGGTCACAGCCCAAGGATGGCAACTGGGTCACACACCGAGTTAATGATTGAGTCACTAATATAACTCAGATCACCTCGCACTGATTCAACATCGATTCATAATTGATGGAGCATCCTCGTGTGCATGTGATCCTGGGTTCTTCAAGCTCTGCCGCCTATGCACGGAGCACGTGGCCTGTGTAGATAAACGCCATCATTTGGGGTTTGTTTTAGAGTTCTACACAGAGGCTGGACATTTCAGGGGAGGCTTACTAGTAGAAAGCCAGCGTTCTGTATGGAACGTCACGAACAAAGACTTTTTGTGTCATGTTATGGCGGTATCTCACACTGCACGCTAACCACTCTCCAAAACAGAATGACCCCTTGTCAACTGCCGCCAAGCCTGCTCCTCCCACAGCCTTCCCCATCCCAGTCTGTGTCACAGCCGCTGCCCAGGTGCCAAGACAAAACCTGCAAGTCATCTCTCACTCCACATTTTGGCTCCATCAACAGGTGGCATTAACTCTGTCCCTAAGCGCTTCTCCCAGCCTCCATCCCCCCGCTCCCACTCGGGGTAAAGTCTGCACCCTGGGGCCACCGCCTCGCAGCCCCACTGGTAGCCTTGCTTGCCGTCATACTCCCGTGGACTGTTCGTTCAGCAGCCAAATGCCTCTGCTCTGTTTCTCTCCTGCTTATAAGCTTTCCCTGCGTGCCTTCCACGGCCCCGTGCTTCACGCGGTCTGCCCTGTGTCTCCGACCTCCTCTGTCCCACTGTCCTCTCGTTCACTCCGCTCTGGGAAGACCAGGGGCTTCGGTTCCTCAGAGAGGCCACACCTGTTCCCACCGCAGGCTTTCTTCCCCTACTTCTTCTTGGGACTGACTCTCCATAATTTGAGTCTTGGCTCAGCTGTCACCTCCTCAGATAGGTCTCCTCTGATCACCCCAACTAAAGCAGAACCCATAATCCTTGCCCCAGCGCCCTGCTACCATCGCTCTTAAACGCTTACATTTTTTGTCTTCTGTCGAGCCTATTAATACCTGAACTTACATTACTTGTAATAATTTGTCTGCCTGTCTAATTAGTTGTCTAACTATCTCTCTTCCCCACAAGAAGATAACTAGAGAGAGAATTTGTTTAGTTACTGCTGTATCCACTAGAGCCTGTTACAGTGCCTGCTGCTTAGTGGGTGCTCAGTACTTATTTAATGGGTTTATTTTAAGCGGATGCTGCCATAAAGATGAAAAGAGCTAGATTTATATGAACAAATTGGGGCCTTTTCCCACCTCCCTGTTAGGCTGCCAAGGAGTCTGTAGCCCTGAGCTGTCCGCCTGTGGTTAGATGAGAGGAGGGCAGCTCTGACCTCCAGTGAAGTGGGTGGAGTTTGCTTATAGTGTTTCCTTCCCTTGTTCTCTCTGCCACACACACACACACATGCACACACATCATGCACAACCACCCTTTTACAGATGAGGAAACTGAGGCCCATGGTGTTTAAACGGAATCTAGGAATCAGTGAGCTGGGTTGAAGTCCCAGGTGCCCCCCCTGTGGCCAGAACCAAACCGTTTAACTTCCCTTTCACAGTGGTGCGGGGAGGCAAGCTCGGAGCTCTCGGACTTGGCAGACTTGCGTTCATGTCCAGGCTCTGTGCCAACCTTGACTCGGGCACCTTCCATCCCTGGCTCATCCTGTCTTCCCGTGAGCAGCCTGCCCTGTGCCTGCTGGGGTTGGTGTGCGGAGTCCAGGAGGTGATGTGGGAGAGGGTGATGAGCTCGTCCAGGCAGAGTGCGCTCCCTTACTGCTCCCCGTGGGCCATCTTCATCTGCTGGCTTTCTTCTCGCCTTTCCTAAACGTGAAAAGAAGCCAGTCTGGGGCACAGGGCTTGCACAATCATCAAAGCCTTGGAAACAGATCTTTGCTACGTCTCAAGGGTGAGAGAGTGGTGTGGACAGGCCGAGACAGAGGCGATGACTCTAAGATGTGACATCCCTCTAGGATGGAGACCACATGTGTATACAGTAGTCACACTCAAAGGCAGGCTGGACACTAGTCTCCTGCCTTGACTCTGCTTCCCTTGGGGGTGAGTAACGTAATTCATGGAGGATCTAGGAGCCTGTGCTTGAGCAGGTGGCTTCTTTCCCCGCGTATGGGGTCTCCACCCCCAGGAGCCAGGTGGCGATGGCCCTGGCCCATGCGGGCTCCTCACCTCTCTCTCCTGCCCACAGCTCCATCCTGAACCTGCCGGGGGAGTCGACGCTGCGGCGGGACTTCCTGAGGCTGCAGCTGGCCAACAAGGAGCGCTCGGAGGCCCTGCGGCGGCAGCAGCTGGAGCAGCAGCAGCGGGAGAACGAGGAGCACAAGCGGCAGCTGCTGGCTGAGCGCCAGAAGCGCATCGAGGAGCAGAAGGAGCAGCGGCGGCGCCTGGAGGAGGTGAGGACCACTCGCTCCTGGCCCTGCATCTCTGTGCTGGGGCCGCCGCCCGGGGCTCCAGTGTTGGCCCCATCCCACCCTGGCGTGGGGCCGCAGCCTGCTGGGAGCCCACATACCTTCACTGCAGGGGGACGAGGCCCCAAGGCTCTCACAAGCAGAGGACTGTCGTGCTTGGGGCTCTGGGACCTTGGTGTGGTCGCTTCAGAAAAGCAGGTGGAGGCCTCGGCCCCTTCAAGTCTTACTCAGATGTCACCTCCTCAGTGAGGCCTCCTTGACCACCTCACTTAACATCACACCCCCTCCCTCTAGCATGTCCTGTTGCCCCTCCCTGCTTTATTATTTTTACCTGCTCTTGTCACCTGCGCTCATAATTTCCACATACTTCCCTGTGTCTGACACTGGAATGTAAACTCCCTGAGCGCGGGGGATTTTGTCTCTTTTATCCCTGATGTATCTCTACATTATGTATCTCTCCTGCCTACAACAGTGCTGAGCACACAGTAGGTGCCTCAAAAATATTCTTGGAATGAATGAGTTAATATACGAATGAATGAGTCAACAATTGAGAAGTGATATATAGGTGCTAACTAGACCACAGTGAAATGTCAAGTATGGAAAAGCAGGGCCTGCCTCTGGATAATCCTTTGTTCCTCCTCTGAACACTGGGGAGAGCATTTCACAAATCCTTCCACATGCCCTTTGGTACCCAGGGCCTGTCCTCTGGTTTGTGGGCTGCACTTGCCTTCACCAGCAGGCATGGCCGTCATCTCGGTGGGAAACCCTATGCGAGGCACACTTCCCTGCATGGCTGTCTGGTGAGGCTCTACCCTGTGGTCTTACAGATGTGTTTTAAAGCCTCCTTCTCAGAGCCTTGCGCCGAGGCTTCCTTCCTCTGCCAGGTAAATCAAAGCCTCCAACAATTGAGAGGCTGGGAGAGCACAGCTGTTGGGGAAGTTGGATGGCAGATGAAAGGTTAACTGGCTGCGCGGTAATGGGGCAGTAATTTTACCCTTTTCCCAAACACCGTCTTGCTCCTTATTAACGGTTTACAGCAATTCCCTTGCTTTGTCAGGTGGCCGCTGCAGTTAGAGGATGGTGAACTGCAGACACCAGCAACAGATTGCTTTTTAAATGGCACGTCCAGGTCCAACGTCCCTGGTTTAAATCAGGGAGGGCCTCAATTCCAGTTTGCAGTAAATCCCATCACCTCATTATGACCCTGGAGTATTAGTGTGCTGACCAGCAACGGTAATACCCAACGTTTGCAATTATTGAGTGACTTCTGTGTGCCGGGTCCCAGGTGGGATGCTCTGCTTGTATCCAGGATCTCATGTACTATCATGATCTCTTTGTATATATCCATTCTCTCTCCTACAAAATGCATATAATCCCCATTTAACAAAGAAGAAACCGAGGATCAGGGAGGGGAAGTAATTGGTCCCGTGTCACAGGCCCAGTAAGTGCGAGGTCGGGATTCGCACCCAGGTCTCCCTGCTCCCAAAGTCCACGCAAGCCCAGCGATGGTGAGTGCAGGTATGTGCCGGGGCCTTAAACGTGATCCTCAGGACTGATCTTCATAGGCTGCAGCCAGCGGTATAAGTCTGTAATACCGTTGGGGTGAAGACAGCTGAGCGCAGGCGAGTCTGCCACTGACCTCCTTCTAGTCTAGGAATGACGCTGGGGTGGACAGAGGCTCTTCAGGGCTGCAGGGAGGAACCCTCAAAGGAGCAGGTAGGGGCGGCTGGAGGGAGCTGGGCGTTCACCAGCTCTCCAAAGTGAAGGACCACGTGTAGCCGCAGGTTACTCTCCTGGGCACAGATTGAAATCCCTTGCAGCTGGGCCCTGATGTAGTCTCCTTCAGCCCAGCCCACCCAGCCCAGTTGTGGCCGCTGTCCTGGCCCCAGCCCAGAGCCACGCCGTTTCCTCCAGTCTCAGGTCTCCTGAGGACCACAGGCCTCTGCTGTTTGGATCCAGGGTTTACTCCTTGAGATTCCTGAGCCCCCGTCTCTCCAGCTAAGCAGCGTCCCCTCAGGCTCTGCCCCCAATCCTGCCTTCCCTGCTGCTTTCCTGGTTTGTGGTTCATGCCTTCCAGGAGCCTTTCCCAAGGCTGCCACCTCGCTGGAGTCACACCCTGGAAGGAAGCTTGACCGTTGGCCTTAGTGGGTTCTTTGCCTAGCAATTTGCTATGCTTAGTTTCAGGCTAAAGGCACTTCATGTGTAACCCTAGAAAATTCCCACTGTCATCCCGAAAAGCATTTACAATATTCAAGAATGCAAATATGTACATGGGTGCATGCACGCGTGCACACACACACAGACTTAGATGAATTTCCTTTTTTAAAAAAAATTTTAACATAAGAACTCTTGGCTTTTGAACCTAGATCCTCATTTAGTGCAAAGTGTTTTCAGAGGGTGCATTGTTTTGTTTTTATTTTTTATATTTTTCCCCTTCTTACCTGGCACGATCTATTTGACCTTATATGTTTTTTTATCGAGTTGTTAGAATAGTCATTTCTAACAGTCATGAAGCACCAACCACATGACAGGCAGTCTGTTCAGCACTTTATGTGAATGGTCTCCTGGAATCCTCACAATAACCCCTCTTCTAAAGACAATGCAGCTGAGTCTCCAAGAGGTTAATCATCTACTGAAGGTCACACAGCTTGAGAAGAAACCAGGTGCTATCACTGCTTCCGTCCTGCCTCTCTGCTGATAAGCCACGGTCAGCATGCTTTTCCAGATTCTTTACCTGTCTGTGGACTTCCACCCTGGGAACGGAAGGAGTTTGAGCAAGGGCAAAGAAGTTTTCGCCAGCAGGTGCTCATCTTTGAGCTGGGATCTCGCTCTCATGCTCCCAGGCAGAGCCACAGAGCCTTCCTCGTGTCTCTCCTTTTATGGCATTTTCTGGAGCCTCTACCTTGGACGCAAGTCAGAGTTCAGACTCAGAGGGACACGTCTAGCCACAGGGACACACCCTCAAAGTGCCAGCGCACGCAGAAGGCCACTGCATGCCCTTTGCCTGATGCACCGATGGGCATGAACCTGCCTTCCCCCGAGAGGCAGGACTGCTGTGGCCGAAGGGCAGCCAGAGGTGATACCCACCTTATCTTTTGATCCTTTATCTTGCCCCTATTGCTCAATAGAGAGGAAAAAGAAACACTAAATACTCACATGGCTGTACGTTCTGAACCCTTCAGTAATGACTCTGCCCCCAGGGACTCCTCTCCCGCTCCTGCTGCATCCCCATCTGCTGCCCTGGCCTGTGGGGACGACTTGTGTTTCTAGTGTCCTGGGTAGGAACTTGGACTGCATTGTCACACAGGAGCAGCAAGAGCCCCGGGTGAAACTGGCAAATTTAGCTTCATTGTGGGTGGGGTGAACTCTTGTGGGCGTCCTAGGAAATACGTTCCCATTTCCAGATAAAGGCCCTTCCGATGCCCTTTGGTGACATGGGACTGAGTAGGTTGTAGTCTTCGTATTCCTCAGTGATCTCAGATGTCACCTCCTACCAGAGGTTTCTGAGGAAGCCCTGCACGTCTTTGCTATTTATGGGTAACCATGTGGATTTGGCTAGGTTCTAAATCAGTAACTATATATTCTTAGAAGGACTTTGACTGTAAACTGAGTGCAGTCATTTATCAGCTCGTGAAAAGGACGTGGCTGCAGGCTAGTTAAATGGTGGGCACAAGACTCTTGGCTTTTTTTTATTGAGATGTAATTGACATGGACTATTATATTGGTTTCAGGTGTATGACTTCGTGATTCGACATTTGTGTACATTGCACAGTGATCACCATGATGTCTGGTGACCCTCTGCCACCACACAGAGTTAATACGATATCATAAGTCTCTCCGCTTCTGACTGATGATAAAGTACAATTTATAACTAAGTTCCAGGAACTTGATTAAACCCCGCTGAAGCGAATGAGTCCATCAGTAGTGAGAAGAAGTGCACAGAGAGCTTCTTGTACTTGATTCAGTTCCATAAAAGTTCCCGTCACTTGGCCTAGACAACACGCAGCTTGTCCTATTCTCCATCACAGACGGAGCGCCCAGGACGTGTCGAGCTTTCGACTCTGGTTATCTTTTCACACTAACCTTGCACAGAAGATTTGTAGTGATGCTTGATTCTGCTCAAGAGTTTTGAAATGATGTTAGTGATTTATATGTTTTTTTCAACTTGCTGAGCGCCCATTTGGAGGAGAGTCCCTAGGTCACAGGAAAGAATCAGATTGACCCCAGGAGCACCACCCTCCTCCACGGTAGTAAGTTTTATTCAGAGAATTGTGTTAAGTTTTTCAAGCCACCTAGATCTACTTTAGTGCCTTTAAGACCATCCTAACGTGACCTAGTTATAAAAACAACCAGTTCTAGGTAAAAGATGTCCTAGTGCTTTGGTTGTATCACCTGAAATTTCTTTTAAAGAATTACCACCTGTAGGGCCAGCCTCGTGGCATAGTGGTTAAGTTCATGAACTCTGCTTTGGCGGCCCGGGGTTTGCAGGTTCAGATCCCGGGCATCGACCTACATTCTGTTCATCAAGCTAGGCTATGGTGGCATCCCACATATAAAATAGAGGAAGATTGGCAATAGATGTTAGCTCAGGGCCAATCTTCCTCACCAAAGGAAAAAAAAAAAAAGAATTACCAGCTGTATCCTAATGGCCAGTAATAGTGGAGCACTAACATATAAAACGAGAGCCTGGTACTTCACACATATGAAGTCCCTATAAGGCTCCAACTGTTTATTTTGAGTGACTGCAGCTTTCAAGGATGTTGGGCTCAATTGTTTTTTTAAAAGTGTATGGTAGAATTAAAACCTTTTCCCTGTTCCAAAGGCAGTCATTCCACAAATGGAGTGAATGCATACCTCCACTGTACAAGTGCTGTGCTGGACACTGGGAATATAGGCTGCCCTTGTGTAGACCAGATCTGTGAGGGACACAGACAGTAGGCAAATAAACACCCAAATAAACGTTCACTACCGTTGCCAGACTGCTA